GAAAAGGGACAATGGGAAAATCTCTTTTGAATTGGGTGTGGAGAGCTAGTTAGAAATAACAAGAGGAAGCTAAGAACAGTTTGTGCCAAACGTCGCAGTACAAAGGTTCCTGACTATGAAATGCGTTCAGCTGAGAAACAAGCTTGGAAGGGAAGTGGAAGAAGCCCCATCATTTGAAATGCCGTAACAGGAGTAGACAAAGCACTCGAAAGTGCACTGCAGGGAACAGTCTTTTTTTGGCAGGGAGCGAGACTTGGATGACCTAATAGCTTCTTTCCATCTCTATTAGAATCACAGAATCCAAAGTCTTGCTCAGAGCAACAGCACAGCCGGCTTTGAAGGTTTGCCCAGTTATGGCATCGTAACGTTGGTTAGCACGGCTCTGCACGCTCCAGCCCCTGCAGATTCCCAAAGCAGTAGTTAACAGCTCTGCTCTCTGATTAGTGTGAAATACAAGCAAGCTGTGGAATATGTTTTGGAGAGTTTTCACTACCGAACCGACCAGATCTAAAAAGGAACATAAACAAAATTTACAGTTTCATGTAAGACAGTTGGGCAGATAGACATTGTTACTGTGTTTCGATATCCCCCTTGCTGCACAGTGATTGCAATGCTGGTTCGTTTTAATACCTTGCCAATTTTCATTCTGAAGTCAGATTTCAGTCCTACTTTTCTATAGAAAGTGTTTGATTTAAAGGAGGCGAAATCTGTCCAATGTATTAAATTGTAACTAGAAAAGAAGTTCAGCACATACTGGTGTTGTAGCTGCATTCCGTATTAAATCCCAGTAGCCAAACTTTGAAATGTAGGCAGCTTTCTCAACTGTGTAGCTCTCGTTAGAGATTTTTTTAAGGAAGAAGGCTAATTGTTAAGAACAAGTGAAGAAAATTCCAAAAATTATACTGTCTTATGCTATACTATGTAAATCCTACCGATTTTTGAATTGGGTGTGGAGAGCTAGTTAGAAATAACAAGAGGAAATGATAAGCATATCACTGTTGCTTATAGGTTTGCAACACTGCAATGATTCTTAACCATCTTCTGCCTCTCCCCTCCAGTGAGACAGTTTGGTGGGAGAGAAACTCCACGGCTGTCCGACATTGGGTCACTCATTTATCTTTTCCCTCTCAGCTTGGCTGCAAACCGCCAGAAGGTGCAAACGCAGCTGTCACGCCCCAGGGCAGCGTTTTTCTCCCATCCGCTTGATTTCCAGGCTCCTTGCCCAGGCTGGCTCTGCTGCCATGTTCTCCTTTGCCCTTCCCAGCACGACTCAAAGGCAGCAGAAACCAGTGGGAAGGCTCTGTACTTGCGTTGTAAGAGGTTGTTTTCACTCCCAACAAAGAATGGCTGGAACACCACAGAGGAACAGGTCGTGCCCTTTCTAGACCTCTGCTGTCTGGAAGGACCTTGTGATTGTTCGTGTATTTGGAGAAGGTTTACTAACGTAGTCCTAAGACGGCTGTAAGGAGCCATGGGTTTCTTTGCCAGCATCACCTGGGTGATTCAGAGGTGGTGTTGTGCAAGGGCCCAATGGGCTGCTTTTTTACCTTGCCTACCAGACCAGCCTTGATAGCGATGCTGCTCCCTCGAGAGGGAAAGCAAAGAAGTTTTCAGTCGTGTCTGCTGCCTGTGTTTGTCAGTCAAAAAATGGAAATCTCTTGGGGAAGAGTGGGAACAATTGAATTATTTTATGCTGAGGCACAGTAAAACTCATTTTTAAAATTATTGCCTGATGTCCATAATTAATTCACAGTACTAGTCCCCATAGAGTTAATAAGACTATTACGCACTTAAAATCAAGTGTGCACATAGGAGTCGGTAACATCAGAATCTAATGTTTTACTTCTATTTTTTTTGAAATATCTTTTATTATTTCAGAGTTAGAGGTTTAACAGCATGTTCCCAAATGAATTGTGAGCTTAGCAGAAATTTTTTAAAAAGGAGTCCAAGTTTTTCAGCGCTAAGAGGGCCCTTGCAGAAAACCTCCAGGAAATGCCGTGTCTATGTTTAGTGTGCTGCCGTGATAGCTCTGTAGGGATGTGAGACAGAAAGCACAGAGTGGTTTGACAGAATGGGAAACTGAGAAGTTGCGCCTTCTGGATCATCATGTGCTACAAAATCAGACGAGGTTAAAGGAAATAGGTGGAGAGGGAGCTAGAAGAATACGCTAGGGATAATAAGAACAAGGTGGGAAGCACAGATGCCAAAAGTGAAGAGGAAAGAGATAATCAGATTTATGAGCGTTGATTCATTTCCAGTAGTCACTTCATTGACTGTGGAATGTATAGCTTTATTATATGTGATTTCTGCTAGGCCTGGAGTTCAGCAACACTTCGTTGAAGTGTGTCTTAATAACAGGAAAGGAGCAAAGGCCAACAGAGTCTCTGGGCAGCTGGACAGCTCTGACATACTCTTTTCCTGCCCCAGAGGTTTATTGCTACCATTATCCAAATCAAATACTTTTTAAACCAATCTTAAAGAAATTGTTTCCTGACCTTTCTTACGCCATATTTCTTAACACTGCATATGGCTGAGGTCTTTTCAATTGTTTCTTTTTTTAAGACTAAATCTATTTGACAGATATTGGTTAATAATAAATTAGCTAACTCTGCTAAAGGAGGTATCCAGTGATGGAGACAATGTCTAGTTCTTGTAAGAACGGCTACCTGTCTGCAAATACATATCTAAAGACTGGAGACATCAGTTGTTTGGAGGAACTCAGTTAAAGGCATTTTCTATTTATACACTAGTACAGATTTTACTAAACAAATATATATATATAAAAAGGCAGAAATATAGGCATTGTTAACCATTTTTTGCAATATTTGATTTTGTTTCCATATGCACAAGTTATTTTTAAAGCCTTTGCTACGTACTCCTAAATACCTATGATTTAGCTTGCCGTTTGAACAGCAACACAAGTGTGGCCTCTGGAGACGTACTCTTTAGAGAGTAGCATGAGTTTAGCTTTGCATGTACACCTTATAGCGAAGCTGCTGTGGCCTGGGTTTCTGCTGCCCTGTGTCTGTGTCCCTGGTGGAACAGATGGGTGTCGTAGCTTCACTGCTTTTGCTGGGAAGCCAGTGGTGGCCCTACTGCTCTTCAGCTTGTGGGAAAGAAGAAACTTACAGAAAATGATGTAGTAAAGAAAAAACTTACAGAAAATGATGTAGTAAGCGTAGGCGCGTGTGCACACCTGTAACACAACTGAGGTTTAAGGGAGCAATACAGTGCAAAACAAGACAATACAAAATTAAAGGTAACACGCAGAAGTGATAATTAAAGCAACAGGCTCTGTCTGTCTGGGAGTTTTGTGGCAGTCGAATAAACATTGGAAGGTGGTTCCTCTTACGCACCTTGAAGGAGAGCAGGTCGGGCTGCAGCTTCCTAGCCGTGCGTGCTCCTGGCAGTGCCCTTTGTAGGGCGCTTCACATCTTTTTCCTCTCAAAATGACGTGGAAAATCAGTCTGAAATCGCTGGATATTTGGGTTGTATCTCTTGCTGTTAGTGCGAGGAACTGTTCTCACTGATGTGCAATGCCTCAGGGCTTAGCCCTGCCCCATCCATCAAGGCTGAGAGACTTCCCAGAACTGCAGATAAAACACTATTCACTATTCCTGCCTTGACCTCGACAGTCCCAACTTTTATAGAAGACTTTTGGAGCAAAGAAATATTAAAAAAAGGAAAAAAAAGATCTTTTTCCGTCTCCTTTGTGTTTAGGGGCTCAACTTGCCAAAGCTTTGTTCTTCTCCAAAGGGACCTCTAGCTGAGGTCTCTCTGTGTCTCACCGCTCCTTTCCCAAACTGAGCACTGTGGTACTCATTCTATAAAAAGACCTCAAAACAGTCCAAAAAAAGATCTATCGTGACTGCTCCTAACAGACTGCAGTTTTATGATCAGTTTAACCGGATCCAGTTCTCCACCCATCTACTCGTAGCTATGTCTTCCTCTCTTTGGACATTTCATCTTTGCCTTTTACACGGTTGGTTTTTAGGCATCTTGTATTGGTTTTCTTCTTTCTAATCACAGAGCTGAGGGGAGGAAAGGAGTAAGAAGAGCTCTTTTGACAGAAGTCCAGATTAAATTGGGTTAAGTAGATTATGAAAAATGTTCGGGAGTGGGAAGTTTAAGGTTTCCGTGGGCTGTTAGAGCTTTGAAGTTATCTCACTTAGGATGCAGGAATGTCTAGATGTTACCAAATTTTCTTCACCGTACTGGCTGAGATCATCAGCTGTTTTAGGACTTTAAAGTCTCTTCCATTCTAACCTGCTGAGTACTTTTCTAAGGTTAAATGAGAAATTTCCTTCCAGACCGTCATACCACTGAAGGAGAGCTGTCATTTCGGTTCCTTTAGTGGAAAAATAAGTTATCTAAGAAAGGAATAGGAAGGACCAGAAAGCCACACTCAAAGAAAGGGTCTGACCTCAGCAGTAATAACATTTTTCATTAAATGCCTTTTTCTGTTATTGAAATGTTTATCAACCACTGTCCATTGAAAATAATTAAAAGATTGCAAATGCAGATTTCAAGCTGAGGCCAGGTTATGAGCTATTTCAATATGACTTTGGTTTCAACTCTTAGCTACTCATGGAATGTGGTTGCTCACTCAGCTCACATGCTTTTCTGTCTGTGCCCTGGCATTTATGACGTTCTTGTGGGAAATCAATATTTTAGATCCCTCTTGTTGTGAATAAATGTGTGCATGGAATTCCATTTACAAAAGTATCAAAAACAAATAAAAGGCACCAACTACATTTGAAGAATTTATTATTTAATAAAACATTCACACACATCTTTTTTTCATTATTTTCCCAGCCGTAAGTCTTGACAAAGATTAAATATTGGGCCCGGTTATGTTCTACAGGATATAAGCTTCATCCGTTCCAAAAGTAACAGTAATCTCTGTGACCACTAACCATTCCTTTTAGAAATAAATGTTAATGAAAAGCAAATAAATGCAACTGTGTATTATGCATATTATTTTTACATGTATTTTACAGAGTTCGTTTAGTCGAAAGAGGATCTCCACATAGTTTGCCCCTCATGGAGTCAGGAAAAGTAAGTACTGAAAGAAGATTTAAAGATAACTTTTATGGTAAATATTTTCAGTAAATTTCCATGTCTGTTCATGTTCAATGTGGTGTTGAAGGCCTTATCAGCTGTGCAGACTGAAGACCTTTGGTTACTGCTGCGGTTACAGCACGGTGGTGGTAGCTGATGCATTGCTGCTCTCTCCAAAGCTGTACCTCCCTCTTTTGTGCAAAAAGCATTTCCCTCTTTTTGCCTAAAAGAAGATATTTAATCCTCTGCATCTCACTCCTGAAACAACTAACAAATGTGCCACTGGTGAAGGCAGTTCTATTGATGTAGACCCACCTGCACTGAGAACTGGTCTGAGATGACCAGCGCTGTACCCACAGGCTACTGGTCACCTGCAGAGGGACCGTCCCTGGTGGGTGGCATCGCGGGGGGACAGGGCGAGGACACAGGGCTGAAACACAGAGACTGGGGTGCTGCTCTCAGCTCCGTCCCTGGCCGCAGTGTCTGGCCATGCGCCGGTGACCGAGGTCTGCTGCTAAGCATGCTCTGCCTTAGGGAGAAAGGAGAGGTGCTGTCACCGCTGCACTGGGCCACCGAGGCACTCCCTGCTCACTAACTGCCCTCGCACTGCGGATGCTCCCCTGAAGTTTTCTGACCGCAGCTTTACGAACACTCGTGTGCAGAGGATGCTCCCTTCTCTGGTTTAGGGTTTACCAGCTGCCCACCTCTGTAGTCTGGAATGGCCATTACACAAAGTCATTGGCAGGGCCTCGTGCTGGGGAGACTGCATGGTGCCTCTGGCTCTCTCTTGGTTTCAGGCCAGTTTCATGCGGCTAGCGGGTTTGTTTTTCTATTCTAGTATATCCTCTCAGAGAGACTTGGGCCGTTTGGTAGGGTTTTTGTATTCCAGGTCAACATTTGATTTCTGAGGAGTTTTTAGTGGTGGAACAGCTCTCACAAAGAGAAGAGCTTTTGTAGCATTTCCCAGATATCTCAGAATTTATTACATTTATGGACTATTTTAATTTTTTATGTTATAAGTCTGCTTTAACTTTTTAAGGATTTCTTCTAGTTTCTAATGAAGGTTTTTGGGGGACGAAGAGTCAGCGTACGATTGCATAAGCCAGTATCTGCTTTCTCACTGCCTTCATGGTTTCTTTCCGTAGATCCTCCCAGGAGTGCGTATCATTATTGCTAATCCAGAAACAAAGGGACCCTTAGGAGATTCTCATCTTGGTGAGGTGAGTCAGGAAAACTTAACCTTTGTGTGCTTTGAACTAAATTGCAGAGATAAAACTATCATCATGTATGTCAGTGGTTTCCTATAACATGTCTTAACAAATGTGTGGTTAAGAAAATGGTGAATTATACAGATCTTTGTAGTGTATAAAGTGTGTAGCATGATATTTGTATCATTATTAAAATTGTTAGTGATATACTTGATAAATACTAATAATATCTCAAGTTTGTTAAAAAAATGAAAAAAATTTGCTTTTTCTAACTGTTTTCTACTCAGTGCCTCACTAATTCTGATGGAAATTTACATGAAAACATAAGTTTATTGATTAGTCTAATTTCAGCTAGGTGGTTTTCTAGTGCTATTTGCTTTATAATCATTGTGCTTCAATGCACTGAAGTACTCTTGTTCGCTGATTTGAGCAAGGTTATATGTTTTTCCAATTTATTTTATGTTTCTAGAGAGAGAAAACAATGTTATTTTCAATGAGCAATTAAAGATTTAATTAACAAAATGAAGAATTTGCTTAGTCATAATTAAGACTACAATCTAATTGTTAAGATTCTTCTGTAAGATTTCATTACTATGAAATCGTAAGTATTTCTGTGGTGCCTTGAGTTAGATGAAAAGAATCCTTCTCCATAGGTGAAGGTTCCCGGCCTCACGCTTTAAAATAATCTGTGTGTCTGGTGTTCATGGAGGATGCCCTGCTGGAGTCAGTACGCTGAACTGGGAGGGGGATCTGTGGAAAGAGCACTGTGATCTGCCGGATCTTCTGCAAACTGCCAGAACTAAGCAGACCTTGGAGCTGGCTGAGCCGCTCAAGGAGGCTGTGCAGGTCGTTGGCTAACTTGGGGCCAGGGGGCTGCAAGGAGGCGTCCCCGCAGCCGCGAGTCCAGCATCCCTCTCCCCCAGGCATGGCTCAGATCTGCACTCCGACTTCAGCGAGGTTAGACTGGGGTCTCTGCCTAAAACTGCCTCAGTTACGGGTTCAGAAACATGTTAACAGGCATGATAGTATTATCTAGCTATGACTAAAAATATTTGCATCAAAAGTGTTCAAAAATGCCTCATTCTGGAAAGCTACTTTAATTAATACCAGTATAATTGCTTTTAACTTAGATATGGGTTCACAGCACTCACAATGCCAGTGGGTATTTTACCATCTATGGAGATGAATCGTTGCAATCAGATCACTTTAATTCAAGACTCAGCTTTGGAGACACACAGACTATTTGGGCTCGAACTGGCTATCTGGGGTTCCTGAGAAGAACAGAGCTCACAGATGCGAACGGAGGTAAGAGGTTTCTCATCATCTGGTTCTATGCACGTAATTTGGGTTATTTTGAGGCTGACACCGTGTCTCTTGGCCTGTGCTACCCAACGTGTTCAGTCTGTGACACCTGTAGAATGGCAAAAAAGCCTTAGTTAAAATAATGAGAAAATAAAAGAGAGGGCAAGATTTCCCTGCTGAAACAATTGCTTTTCCTTTGCTGTACCTCAGGTGCTGTAAATGCCCTCCAGCAGTGACTTTCCGGCACTGTTAACTTGCCAAGTGCTTCAGCTTGGAAAATAGGAAATGCAGCTCAAAATGCCACCATTTGCTCTCGCAGTCGTATCCGCAGGGAGGCATTGGTGCAGATAGGAAAAGCCTTGTTGTGAGTCTGAGCCCTGTCCCTCCTGTGACGACCACCTTCTTTGATAATTCCTCTGCTATAAACTTCTTTACAGAAGCTGTCCATTTCTCACACTTCCCTGTCTTTAAACCTGCGGGGGGGGTGGCCGAAATGCATCACAGGCAGTAGGCTGCAGGAGAAGCTGCGGGGGGGCTGGGTTTCTGTCGGGAAGGTACCGGATTTCGTTGTTTGCTTTTATGACATTCCTTGTCTCGTGTACACACGGAAGCAAACCAGCGCTGCCAGGCGCCCAAAGTCTCTGCTTGGGCAAACCGGGCTTCCCTGAGATTTTCGCAGAGCGCAGGGCCACGAGCGGCGGCCGGCGGGGGGGGGGGCTCCGGGCGCTGCGAGCACCTCCAGGAGGCCACTGTTCAGCCAAAGAGCGAATCCACCGAATCTGAAAGCATTTTAGTAATCACTGCGGATTATGACTGCTGCCCGAGTCCTTCTGTTAGCATCTGCCTGAAGTGATTTACTTCCAGTTGCACAGGCTTTTTGCATTGCGTAACGATAGCCCAGCCTTGAGGAAATTCAGGATTCTCTGAGGATATTGCAACATAAGCATCCAAATGGCTTAAATCTTCTCCTGGCAAAGAGTTGCTAAGTCTCCGTTCTCCTCCCACTTTTAGCTCCCAGTGCAGAAAATTCTCTGCCCTTTATTACTGGTAGAGGTTATATTGCCATTACATTACCACCGTGCATCTAAATTAATGTAAAAAGAGCCAATTACCTGCTTTTAAGTCTATTAGCGAATATTATTTCTTTATGGATAACATGCAATCGTTTATTATCAGCCTAATATCTTTTAAAAAGTGTCATTTCTGCCTCATTTATTTCTTTAGTCAGTAAAAATTTGTACTAGAAGAGCATTACACTCCAGAGCTTGCCATCTGTCTGAAGGAGCAAACTGCTACCTGGCAGATAGCACGTATTTCCAGTTTACTGAGAAGCACCTTTGTAATACACCTCAAGCATCAGTCCTGGCCTCTCAAAGCTACTGAAAAACATTATCCGTACTGTTAGGGTCAAATCCATCCTTTCTCTTTCAAAAGAAAGAGAGAGAAACGACGAGCCTATTGTCTATTTAGGGCACCTTAAAAAAGAATGAGTCTGTTCTGCATCCACCTGGGAGAAAAACAGGAATTTATGCCACGGTCGATGGGTGAAGACTTCCCCCTTTCCCTTCTTCAAATGGGATCAGTGTTTCTGCCTTCCTCTCCTGCACTTTCTGCTCTGCGTTGCACTGCAGTAATGGAAAATTCTCACTACTTCGGAAGTCACTTTGGGGTTTCAGAAATTCGAGGAGAACCTATAAATGTTATACTTACTTTATTTACATATTAATGTGAACATTTTTGTAGCTTAATGTACTTGAGAACATACTCTTTAACATTTATTTCCATATAACCAGAACGCCATGATGCACTTTACGTTGTGGGTGCATTAGATGAAGCCATGGAGTTACGGGGGATGAGATACCATCCGATCGATATTGAAACCTCGGTAATTAGAGCACACAAGAGCATCACAGAATGGTAAGGATTATCTAACACCCGGGCCCTTACAGAAAGCTGAAATATCTATGGCGTCTGGGGGTTTTTCTTGGATATTGCAATTGATCCGGGAAGTGGCCTGTCGGGATGGTCACAGGTTTTACAACCTGGCTGTAAATATGTCCTTAGGATGAAATGTTTCACAAACAGATTTAATCAGGAAGGACTGTTTTCTGCAGAGATCATTCAATATGTTTCTTTTCTTTTGTGGTTTTAAGTGCAAGTGAAGGATTAAGCTTTTATTTTAAGAGGGCCAAGCAGCTCTCAGGTAGGTCAGTAGCTGTTTCTTGGAGTTTGAGATTTTTATCCTAACGAGCAAAAGCAAACGGGTATGAGCTCAAGCTTTAGGAGTGCTGTTATTAGCAGGAGTAAGCAAGCAAACATTTCAAATAAATGAACACACTAATAAATTTTATTAGTGAACACACTGTTACTTTTGAATTGGTTATTAATAAACCAAGCAGTGATCAAATCAAGGTCACAATGGAAATTGAAGCAGTAAATCAATGAGTTAATAATGATGTTGTCTTAATCAATATATCACATCATCAGATGCACACAGCAGGTAATCATTTCTTGAGGCCAACACGAGAACAAATTGCTTTTCATTATTCTTGCATCAGAAGACTGAGTCAGGTAGTTGTTTTGTTTTGATATAACCTCAGCTCAGCTCTTCTCCTTTCAGCCAAAATGAACCTGTCGCAACAGCCAGAGCGATTTAGCAAGTAAAAAATGTGACTCTTCATTTTTCTTTTCAATCCTGGCTGCAAGGGTGTGGCCTGGAGCAGTAAACTTAATAATGAAGCACAGCGACCAACCTGGTTTCTTAAAACACCTTTCTGTTTTCTTCAGTATCTGTTAAAATTAAGGCAGTTAATTGCTTGACTGACTGTAGCTGAGGTTTTGCCTCACTGCTTCCCCCCTGGAGCATCACCACTGCTGGTGTGCTCTCGTGCCAGGTAGCCATTGCGCAGGGTGGCGGCTTCTGTGTCCGCAGAGAGACCGGTGTGAACACTTCAAGGATGCTGTGAAATGCTCCTTGAAAATGTGTCAGATCAGTATCAGCAGTGGATGGAAAGTTTTCAGACCAAGCTCTTTGGGGACAGCCCTATTATAAGATGGCCACAGATTCATAAATTGATGTGTTCAGCAGTACCTGTTTGTCACAGATCTGTGTGTCCTCAAAGTGTGAGCTCTTGGGCAGCGAATGAAGCAGCCATATCACACTGCAGAAATGGTCATCATGGGTTTCAGTGGCCAAAAATGCTTAAATTATGTTCCTGGTTTCAAGACCACTGAAAGCACTTTGAGGATCCTTTTCCTTCCATTATCATGGAAATCCTGAGTGGGATAGTGGCAACTGAAGAAGGGTTGGGGTAAGCTGGGAGGACTGAAAAAAAGGCCACTGAATTTCTGCAAGATGGTAGAAGTACATGCCAATAATTCTTGGTGCCTTAACTCTTCCCAGTAGTTGGTTGATAACATACAAGGCACATGAGCAAGATTTCAGAAAACATGCTCAACTATTACTAACCCTTGCCCAAAGGCCAAAATTGAAAGTATTCAGGGTGTTTTCCTCCTCAAAAAATAGAGGGTGCTGATGAGTTAGATGTTTCTCTGATGTGGTCCCTGCAGCAAATGGACACACAGTGGTTCCGAGCAGCAACGTCTGGTTTGCTCACAGTTCCCAACCTCTTCCTAACCAGTTCTCTGCCTGGTAGCTCTCTCAAGCCACCATCATGCAGTTTTCATTCGTAGTCCTAGTCCTGACTGTCCTTCACTTCTCTCACTTCTCTTTCAGCTTCTCTTAGAGATCCTCCTCTTGTCCTCTTGTGAAACACCCCTTGACAATATAATAGTTAAATCTTTCCTTTTTTGTGTACTTTGTGCCTTTCTTTGGATGGGGGCATGAGCCTCTCTGCTTGTTGGAGGCCACTGTTGTTTCGGTTTCAGTGACCCATTAAGGATTTAACTGCATCGATACCGATTGCAAACAAAAGGCACTGGGCATGTCCACTTGATAGGTTGTGAAAACAGCCTCAGCTACGAAGAAACACGTGCTCATTTTGTAACATTTAACACTGTTGGGGAAAGCAGGGACTTATTAACTGACACGTGATCCTGCTGTGCAACCTCTGTCACTGAGGATCAGATCTAAATGGTCATTTAAAATTATTCTTCTCTCTTAAGAAGTTATAGCACAAAATCAACAGCCTCTGATTGTGGACCTCCTGTGTCTCAGTGTGTAACAAGCGAAAGAGTGGCACTATCTGTTTTCATTGTGATGTACAACTGCACCAGCCATTTTTCAAAGTGTTTTTAATGCTGCAAAATGTCTTGAGAAAGAATGTATGTGTATGTGTTTTAATTAAAGCATATTGTTTACTCATTTAAACTTCAGACCCTTGAAAGAGGGAAGTGGTTTTCTCTCTCTGTATAATGACAAATAGGTAAAGTCATGATGCTTACAGAAGAAAACCATTATGGGCCTCTTTCTCTGGAGGTGTTTCAACAGCTTCCTTGCTTTTCCTGAAGCATTTGATGGGGTGGAGGCAGCAGGACAAGGCCGTTACCGGCTCAGTGCATTGGCTGTGTTGCATCTGTTGGGTGTGACTCTGTAATTTCTTGAGAAGGTGCAGCCTTCCTGGGTCCCTAGTTTTTTGTTTGCTTTTTTTTTTGTTATCTATCAGGGCTAGGAAGTTAATGTGTTCATAAATGGTACAAGCTGGCCGACATATCTTTATCTCAACTGGTGAGAACATAAAGGGCAATATTTCATTTTACTTACAGTGGTCACCAGTAAGTTAGAATCATGACATATGAAATGAGTTTTAAATTAGATTGAAACCCTCTTAGGACCGTCAGTGGCTCCAGGACTTAATAGAAGCTTCATGAAGGTTTTGAGAATCAGTCTTCTGAACTCAAACTGACTTCTTCTAAGCCATGTTTTAGGGACCTGCTCCTGAATCTTGCCATTCATTGCTTTCTCAAGTAACAAGCTAACAGTAGGTTTAAGACATGGTTTCAAGTGCTAATTTACACTTTAATAAAACCTCCCCAGGCTTTTTTGTTAAAATAGATATGTTATTAATTTAGATGTTTGTACAACAATCCAGAAAAATTCTAGGACCTCTCTGGAGATGGTCACCTGTGCAGACTGATACTTCACTTTGTTAATATTCAGCATTAATCAAAACTTACTAGAATGTCTGTGAAAACATAATTACAAATTAAAATTCATTTCATAGCAGTACTAAGTCAAAAGGATCCTGCACAGTCTTGCTTTGGTTGCCCGTTCGTTTTCCAGATCAATAAGCATGTAAGAATTCCATCAAATAGTACTTTGGCAGGATCTGAAAATGAATTTTTTTTTAATAGCAAGTACTTTTCTCCTAAAATTCATTCTGCTAAGCAACAACATAGACCACATTTTCATAGCTAACTTTTGGGCAAGTAAGATATGTTTCCAAAATACAGAGATTTTCAGAATTGTCTTAGTAGACTAAAGCAGCACACTTCTGTCTCGATCAAGCGTTGACCTTAAGGTAAGTAGCTCTTTTTGAAGTTGGCTTATATACATAATATATCCTAACTTTCAGATGCTTATCTTTGAGATAGTTCTGGGAAATTATCCCCTGATTTTATCAGGTAAAGGAGCGTAAAGTACAGGGCTTGAGGTATGAGTTACATGTATAGAATATTATTATTTATGCTGTGGAACAAGTTAGAGGAAGAAATAACCATCGTCTGTGTCTTGAACACCTGCGAAGAAGAATGAGATTGCTCTTTGTGGAGCCTCAGTCCTGCTGACCTCCTGTGAGACTTCAGAGTCTTTGGAGACATTTGAGACGTGGAGAGGAGGATGGAGGGAAGCAAACGCCAGACTTCCACACCCTCCCCGCCTCCATATTTGGAAAGATAAATGCATTATCCTGAGCCAGAAAAGATGCCCAGTAGCAGAAAGCAAAATTTACCTTCTTCAGCTCAAGAGTTTAACCAAAATTTTGGGGTCTTACGAAGTTCTTTCAGTAAAGAGGTCATACTGGTCATAATGGTGTTCCCTTGACCATCTCACCTGTTAATAAGGAATATAAAGGCTCCTGTCCCCTTAAACCCAGCAGAAATAAAACACAGCCAGAATAAAACAGATGGAGACGCTGCTTATTTCTGTATAAACCAACTGGTCCAGAAGAATCGCAGCTCTTCAGTGCTGAGCTCTGTCCTGCCCGGACAGCAGGCAGCCCTGCGCAGAAGGCACGCAGCCATGTGAGCCCAGCACCCCTCCCCGCCACCCAGGGACCTCCGCAGCCTGCAGCATGCTGGGTGAACCCTCCCAGGGCTCCGCACCCCTGCGCTAGGCAGTTTATCCCAAAGATCTTTCACCTCGGACTATGTTCCTGCTGTTCCTTTTGGTGCCTCCACTTAACCTCCCTTGCTCTTCTGGGCTGCCCTTCAAAAAACCCAAGAGAAGACACCTCCACCCCCACATTGCTCATGCATGCCTTCACGAACACAGCAGTGCTGTGACAGTTCTCTGGCTTCAGAGGGAATCGCGCATTGCCTTCCTACCTCCTTGCATGACGTGCAAGGATTAGACCCAAGTCTTTGTAAAGTTTAGCCCAATACTTAGTATTGCAGCAACATGAAAGCGAGAGCTGATGGGGCTGTTCTGCCTCTGCCCTGTGGACCTGTTCTTGCTTGCTCCTTATGCTTTGTGGTGAGCACGCAGAAGGAGCCCTAGGAGTTGAAACAAAAGGTAACCAAGGCAGAATGAACAGGACAAAAAATGAAATGGACAAAAAAACCCCACCACTAAAATTATTTTTTCTTTCGTTCCAGTGCGGTGTTTACCTGGACCAATTTGTTGGTCGTTGTAGTTGAGCTGGATGGATCGGAGCAAGAAGCTTTGGACCTGGTTCCTTTGGTCACCAACGTGGTCCTGGAGGAACACTATCTGATTGTAGGGGTGGTGGTGGTTGTGGACATTGGTGTAATTCCTATCAACTCCCGTGGAGAGAAACAACGTATGCACCTACGAGATGGATTTTTGGCAGACCAGCTAGATCCCATCTATGTGGCCTACAACATGTAGTCTTGTACCTTAAAGCTTCCATGGACTTTACTATAGATGTATAAAATTTTTTGGTGTCCACTAAAAAAAGTGTGCAGATAAGATGCTGACACTCATCAGTATGGAACTGTTTCTATTACGACTTTTCAAAGCAGTCACGATTGGCAGGAAATAAAAATGTGAAATGTTTTCTTTTACCACTAAATTTTAGAAAAGAAGGACTATGGGGTAGGGCCCTTCCGTGTGTTGGAAAAGCCCATTTTAAACCTTTTTTTTTTGCTTATTGGACAATACTGCTTTTTGAGTAAATGTGGCTTTGTATTTTACATTAAGCTGAAGTAGATTTTTTTTTTATTCTGCCCTCCAGATGGATTCTTTTGAAACAATTTGCATACTAATACAAATAATTGTTTTCGTCATCTGTTTTAATATGTCATAAAAAGCTGATGAATACAGATCCGTTACTAACTGAAGCCATTTTAGATCCCAAATCTTAGGAAACTACGTAGTGGTACGAGGAGAATACCCACAGTAGCACCTTTCAATTAGAGATCTTGCAGCTTTCTGGCGGAGATGCTGAAAGGCCAAAGGCCAAAGAGCCTTTGCTGTTAGCGTTAGAATGGAAGAAATTTATAAATAAGGTGTATTTCGGCAATGAACTTGCAAATATCTTTGTACTAAACTGAAAAGATAACATAAGTTAACTACTTCTTCTGTAATTATGTACAAAACGTTTAATTTATTTTGATCTCTTTAGAAGTATAAAAGAGAAAAAACATTCAAGAATATTAAACTCTTGAAATGTTTACTAATATAAAAACAAAGTGTTGTATTATCTTGAGTGGATAGTATCACATCAAATATATATATATGAAATATAAATTCACTAATGACAAAAGATTTTAAAGTTTAAAATGCAGTACTTGTCACTTGCATGGTGTCTCCCACTGTAGATAATCAAATGTTACTCACAAATTTTTTGGAAAAGAAGCAATCCTGGATTGCTAAGTATCCCTGTCGAAAAGAATCCTCTAGATACCAGCAAGTGGAATTATTGCTGCCTTTAAGGCAGTGAATGAATTTAAGACTAAAAATGCACTACAACAATTTTCTTTTCTTTGCCATGGAGGCAACAATAAATATTCGTGCTGGCATGTGCATACACTTGTTAGACTTAGAAAAGGCAGGTTGAGGAATAGCACTGTTGTCTAGCTGCAGAACTTTGTTGCACAATTTTTTTCATTGTTTTAGTTGGTGTTTTTATTGCTATAAGGAAAAGTTTTGGGGTTATTTGCACAGAGTTATCAATTTGCCTCTCAGCTAGGACACGTAGCTCGGTGGCCAATGCATCCAGTTTACATTTACAGGAAACGATTGTTGCGATGGTCTTTAATTTATTCCTTAACAGAGAGGAGCGTACAGTCACTACAACCGGGTTGGCACGAACCGTGCACCTGCTGACCGGTCCCTGCAGGCGTTCAAACGTCGGAGGAACCGACCCGCCTGTTCCAAGAGCGGAGGAGTCCCGCGGTCTCCCGCCTGAGGCCGTCGCGGGAGAAGAGTAGGAAAACATGCATCACAGCTGCCTTCATTTTACTACCTTTGGATAAACGAGAGGTTTGATCCCCCAGTTCCGTTGTCTTCCCTGCACCCCGCGCCCCTTTTGTTTGCAGCCTTCCCCTTCCGTCACGTGGTTGTAACCGAACTGACCTGTCTGTGATCAAGAGTGGGATTTACCAGCTGCAGGCCACGGATGCTTTTCTTCTTGTCCCAGACGCCGTTCACGTGCTGGCTCTCGGATGTGCATGACTAAGATTGTTGCAGGGCAGATGTACCCGTGTTTATATCACGTATCAGGGCGTCTCAACGCTGGGTGTTTGAAATCTTTTTAAAAGGTAGGGACGTTTTAGTCTGCATGTACAGTACAGAGCATCTCGCCATGTCAGACGCGTTTTCTTTCAGGCCATCCTTCCCGCCCCCACTGTCCTGTGAATAGCCCCGTCCATGCTCTGCAGACCAGTCCTATATTTTGTCAAACTCATTTTCTGCTTCCTGAAAAGAATAAAATCTGTTCTTAATGGCAAGTCGTTGTAAGGTTTCAGACAAGATGTTGATTGATTACAAACATAATTGCAGTGTGTGAACTAACTTGTGAAGTCCTGCTACCGCTGATCTCAGTACTGCAAAACAAATCTCGCTGTCGTTCAAAGCGTCACTTTAACCTTCATGAAGTCAACTTTGCATTTGTAGAGAATAAAAGAACTGCAATGCAGTTGTGAAACGCAGTTAATAACAGCTCTCTTCTGCAACCTGTCATCCGTGGTTGTTAAATCCTGAGTTAAGAGAAATGATAAACCGAGTTTCTGGTTTTGTTGTGCAAGCAAAAGGAAGGAAACATTTAAGCACCATCAGACCGAGCAATAAAGAAGGATTGTTCTGTATTAGAAACTGTACTGTAGATAAACCATTCATGAGAATGTATAAAATGTTTGTCTTGTGACCTTGTGCTTTTGGAGTCAGACAAAACCATGTAATCAACTTGATGCACATGCACAAAAAAAGAGGGTACACAATGAACATTTAAACACAAAACTAATCAAACAGGAGCAGATTCCTCATGGTGCTTGTTTATTATATATATTTAATCCTGCTTGACACTTTACCCAAGGGAAGACTGTCCCTTTTATCAGTTGAATGTTAGCAGCGTTATTTCATAGAGTGTGGTGACTGGTTAGAGAAATTCATGTGACTCAGCCAATCACAGTTTCAAACAGAAATTTTTATGTGCAAAGGACAGCAACCTTCTTGTATGTTAAACCACCAGTACGCTTTGTACATCTGTGATAACGCCTGTTTTATATTCAAATGAACAAATAAAAGCTTTTATTTTTGTTGCTCTGAAAATATCGGTTTCTTAATTAGTCATCTAAAACGGAGCTTCCGAGAGCTGCCGACGCTCACTGGAGGAACACGGAGAGCTATACTGTAATTTTATTTTGTTTACCTCTCTTGTTGCATAATTTATTAGTACAAATCATTATAGTTTTAACAATGTTTAAATACTGGTGTGGGCACTTATTGCCGAAAGACTTTCATATGGCAACAGATGTTTTTTGTGAAATGTTTTTTTAATTCTTTTTAATATATTCAAATATACTGTTCACATTTTTGCTGAAAGTGTAAAGATTATTGTAAGCTTGGTAACATTTTGTGAGAAGCAATAACAAGCATTAGTACTGTAAAACTCCTCACATTTGTCACTTATCACTTTTGTTGCAAGGTCTCGCTGCCGACATACTGCTAATCGGTCGCTTAAGCTATCGACGCAGGTGTGGCATCTCTGCTGGAGCTTCCTGCCAGCGGAAGCACGTGGGTAACTGCTTGCTCACGCACGTGGGGCTGGAACCTCTGCGTCGATTCGGAAGCCTTGGACCACCAGGTAAAACCCCTGGGGAGTGGAGTCTGCCTGTTTCCACGGGCCACTTCCAAAGCTGCCGGCATTCCAGAGCTGGCTGCCCACCACTGAGCAGCAGCGTCCCCTGAACCGGGGTCTTCTTTGGTAGCCCATCTGAGGAGTTCAGGGTATTAAATCCCATCTCCAATGGCTTAAATTTCAGGTTGCTCATCGCAACGGGTGGGGGCGGGTTAGAGGACCCACAATTTTCTGGAGCAGAGAGTGCAACCTGAAAACCGGGGGGGGAAGAGGGCGAGTTGGAGTTGGCAGAAGGAGGAGGATGGCAGAACAACAGTAGTTCTGATTCAATTTTGCAAACCATTTTCTTTAAAAAAAATGTTTTTGATGTTTTATCCTAATGGTGATGAGGACTTTTAAAAGGTAAAAATATTTCAAGAACACATTTTAAAAATCATTTTTGCAAATGGTGGCAAGAGTGCTGAAAAGCTGGTGGGCAATCTCAACAACAACAGAAAATCTGTAATAAGGTTGGAAGAATAATTTCATGCACAATGAGAACATTAGAATTCATTCATTATCAGGTTGATACTAACAAGGTAAGAACTGGAAAAAAGCTTGAGAAGAGACCTTGCAGCCTTTTTTGTGCATTTTTCAACACAAAAATTTGCTTGATGAACCATTACCATCTAAGGCAGGGAGGGGGGCACAGCGTGCCCAGAGATCAGCCACCAGTTCTCACCCGTCACCTTGCACAGCGGGCTGGGTTTGGGGGGACTTCTGCAGTCGCAGACCCCTCCCCGCAGCCCCAGGACGCAGGGCCCTGCGGTGGGCCCTGTGCGGGTGGGCTGGGGGCCCGGGCTGGGCGCCGGGCAGCTGGGGAGAGGCACAGCCCGGAAGGGTCATCCCAGGGGGATGGACCCCGCTGTGCCCAGGGTACGAGCCAGCTCTGGTTTGCAGTGAGTTGGTTGGTTGGTTGAATAGAACAACTTTTTGCTTAAAACTGGCAGAGATTTCGGGAGGAAAAAATCCGTAACCAGAATCTACATTCTGAACGTAGGAATGGATCATTGCATTTGGGGATGAAGTATAAAATTTCAACCTGAGTTATTTTTTGGTATCCAGAGTGCTTCGTTTGGCAGCCCACCTTCCCCAAAGCTCTCACTCCCCTTACCATGCTTCAGATGAACAGGCTTTCCTCTCCAAGGATCTTCTGCTCTCTTTTGAGGGGTATCACCTTAAAGCTGGTCCAGAAATCCTCTCGAGGCTTGCCTTATCTGTGCTGGACCTCACTGAGGTCAACATCTTGGAAACAGCGGCTCTGCCTTCCTTACCCAGAAAACCAGCACCGGCTCATGTCTGTACGTTTTTGGAAACTGCATGGCACTGAAGATCAACCATAGCTTCCCTGAGCAGGTCACACTGCATCACACCAGTCAAATCAATACCAGGACGACGCTCGCATTTCTTGCTGGTGTGCATGGACAAGATTCCTTCAAAGCCAAGGGCACTGTTGTCTTCTGCGTGATCCACCCAGGGAGGATGAAAACAAAGTCTTTCTCCAGGGATTCCACGACACAATTAAAAATAATTTTAAAAATTATTGCAAAATATTAGACAGCTATGGCCAGTGAGTGGGCTGATCCTGAAGGCCCGAAGTTGATCTTGT